TCTTTATTTATATGTCGTTGGCGCGGTTTGAACGAGGGGCGGGCAGGTCGGAGGGGGCGAACGTGTGCGAGCGAAACCCGACGATCAGAGTTAAACTGGGGGCGGCGAAATGCTGGAGGACGGAGCCCGAAGGGGGTGAGGGTGCGGGCCCGAAACTATGTCAAGAATGTGCAATTAGTGAGCGAACGCGCTTTGGGGTGGGCTGGCTCTGTGCTCCGAAGAAAATATAAAGAAGAGGGTGGCTTCTCGCGGCGGCGGTGGCGGCGGCGACGGCAGCGTCGAATGAAGAGCTTGCCAATCTAGCCAGTTCTTAAACGACTCAGTAATTTTATGTCGTTTGGGGGACGGATTTTTCATAAATATTTTACGGCGGCGCATAAAAGGGTTCTCTACGGCGTTTATGTGTTTTTTTATCTCAAAGAAAAAAATGCGATTGAATTGAGACGTGCGATTTCTAGTCGGGTCAAAAATTGAATACGTGATTGTTAAATTAATGAAAATTGATCTACATCAGCATAAAACTAATTATAATTACGCAATGATTTTACAATACTTTAAATAGTATATGAAGCAGTTCTGTGTTTACAATGTGGCGGTAAAAGAAATTAAAAAATTAAAGAAGGAATTTAAGTAATTAATTTGATTTGTACATATATATTTTAAACTATAATATTTATATTTTTACAAAATACAAAATTATTGTTCGTAATACAAAAAACGACATCAAACAAGCAATAGATGTTCAGTTGTTTTGTTCGATGTACGATATTTTATCTTTGCCAACAGTTGACAAGTTGAAGTTTGTCCGACGTGTATGCTGATTCCACTAAATGTACAGTATTTAAAATTTTGAATAATACAGATAAATACAATATTATGAACATTTAGAATTACATACAAACGACGTACTATTAGGAAAACATTCAAACAGCGGATACATACTTGACATCGTTTCTTTTGCCGATGCAAATTAGGTATTATAAACCTTTGAAATGGGTTTAAACATACACTTAACCAAATTATAAATTTGTGTAATGTTTATATCTTTATTATAGAAACCAAGTGTTCTTTATATTACTGGCATTTCTGTCTGTCTGTCTGTCGTCTGTGTCAATTTCTATTAGGTAGATAATCTCCGAATTTACTGGACCGATTGTTGTCAAATTTTATATATACGTTAGGAATATGATGTAGATGGTAAAGCGCTAACCAAAATTTGGTTAGTCATCCCCACCAACAATTTGATGACGTCATTTCAAGGAATTCTATTTTAAAATGATTTAAATGTTATACAATAATATACTCCTATACTTGTGGTGTACGAATCCGCTTTGGGTTTTTTCCTAAACGAACAAATGTCCACAAAAAATTAACAGTATAATTAGTATAATAACATTTCACTACTAACTCAGGATATAACCGTCCGTGGCCAAGTGAATAAGGCATTAGCATACGGCCCGGCGGTCGCAGGTTCGATGCTTAACTGGCCGTTTCTTTTTCTCTCACGCTGTGTATTATCTATGTTTATGACGTGATAACGAATTTTTTTATCAAGTTAAGCACGAGTCACCTAATTTTCTCGAAACAGTGAGACTACGCACGTCTTTATTTAATAACAGTTTCAATAATAATATTCAGAACTTTCTGTTCGATTGTGGCTTAATTAATAATTTTAGTCCTCGGTTTTGAGGTGAAAAAACTCATTCAAATCAAACGAATTTCTACGTGACATTCTTCCGATGTATAAACAAACACTTGAAGTTAAAATTTCTTATTATTGCTTTAAACATATTTGCAGTTTGCAGTCCCTTGTAATTTGTGCTCCCTCTGCACAGGAGTTGCAGATGCATTATTATTTTTACCGCAGATTTTTACTTTATAGAGGTTATCAGAAAACAAAAATCGGATTTTTTTTATTTTTCTAAGAGGCGGAATTTGTTGGACTTGTACTTCAGGAGCGAGGGAAGTTCTGTCGAAATAAACTTCAATCAATGTTTAAAGTCAGTTTAACCAAATGAAAGGGTTTTATTTGTGTTAAGGAATCCGGAAGGTAATCTAACGTACTCTATTTACTTCAATGTATAAATTAGACGAGCCGGTAATCACTTTTCCCTAGCTCAGATGAATGGGGGTTTTACTTATCTTACTGTCTTAAATAAAAACTATAAAATAAAACTTTTTGTTCTAAAAAAAATTAAAATAGTCTTAATGGTACAGTTATTTTATTATACACTAATAAAATCTTATAACCTTTAGTGTTATTTAAGCCAATAAACTCGAACAACCTCCCTGGCGAAGATACTCATCAATCTGTGACACTTGAGCCTGTCGCCTTGAAATTTACGTAAATCTCAGGGCTGCATTCGGAAAAATCGTTGTTCTTCAGAGATTCATTCCACTAGATATTGAGATAAAACAGTTTGATAATCTTGAAACTCCATACCTACCTACATCCAAATTAAAACGAGTTAATATTCTATCACTGTACTTGACCTTTACAGACATTAAGTTCATTACACAGTAGAACAGCTCTTATCCACCGATGGTCTTATTATTTTAATTGTCGTTTTCAGTAGCATTTCTTCATGTGACAAATATTTTTGACTGAGACAGAAAAAATCCTGATTAATTGTATCTTATTCAAGCAATTTATGAATCTATTCTCATATTGTATCGAATCGATGTTCAAAAGCGTACGATATTTTATTCAGAGGTGGTTTTGAGATCAAGATCTTTCTGTACAATGAAATCTTTTATAACGACAAAGATTTGCAAGTACGATGGGTGATCTTGTTCAGTGAGGTGTGAAAGTAGCCGTGATTAAATATTTGAATACTGTATATTGGAAAAAGATCTTAAAATGATAACATTTGAAGACCGTGTTCGGCTTATAGGAAGAGACTTTTCAGAGGAAACTTAGTGTGATATGATAAGATAAATTATTAAAAAAGGGTCAGACTAAAATGACAGATTTAGGCAAGAAAGAAAAAAGGCCAAAAACTTGTAGCATTACCTCTCTGAATGATTATAGAGTGGGAAAACGACATTAAGTTCAAGGGTGAATCTGTTTTATGTTATCGTAGTTAAATATATGTGACGTTCTATATATAGGTGTAGTCAATTGATTCTGCAGTGTTAGATTACGTTAATATCATTTGCACTTAATGCAGTATTGTAACTAGAGTGACTATATTCTTCCTAAATTTAGCTAACATTAGCTTTGACAGAATTCTATTGTCAGAGAAAAACTAAAAAATTATTGATTTAGTTTGTGCGTTGCAGCTATTTGATTTCAATAAACCTATGTGGGACCAATAATCTCCCCCAGAACAGACACAGATTGCAATCATTAATCAAAACATAACGCCTTTTCAATTAAAGCGTCGATACCCTTACTTAATCCAATCCAGAATATAACTGCATTTAATTACGAATATAAGCTTGGTGAAACGTTAGGGAAGGGTGACGATAGATAAACGAGGGTGAATTCACATTTTTAATAATTATTCTCACGCAATTGTTTTGTGTGATACTTCGGTAGGTGTAAACATAAATTCATCAAAAAGTTTTGACCAGCATTAAATAAACATAATTTGGAGTTTAAGACAGATGCCTTACAACTTGGTTCAAAGACGGTAAAGTCGGAGTGACATCATTAAATGTGAAAAGAAATTAAACTTAAAACAAACTTTACTCAAAAGTGAAGTGAAGTTGTGGCGTAATTTGAGAGGAATGGTGTAGTAATTTAAAAATAAATCTCCAGAGTTGATATCCATAAAATTAAATCTTTTTATTAGCGAGTTCTGGTTTTGTTGTGTTTTATGAAAGGTAGAGATGTCAATGACAAGGTTGATACAAGTTTTTATTGTAATATCAAACAATAATTGTAATATGCACTTTTTCGGAATTTGAGATAATTTAACCACATTTGAGTGTACCTGGAACACCTAGTATACTTTCAGCTCACCTCTATGTCCGACACGTCTAAAAATATGGAAAAAAACTGGAATTCAGATTTTTAAAGCTGCAGCCTTCCTAACATAGAAGCTGACTTTACCAGTTTTTTTAGAATCTTAAGCTGGGTAATAAACCGAAACACATTTATTCCTCGTATTGCATAAATGGGTTTTTTATATACAGAGAGATTTAAATTTACCCTGAGATTAAATAAAGTCAATTTTAAAACGGTGTGCTTCGACATCTGAAAATAAGAATAAGTATATGTTTTGCGTAGAGCTTAATTGTGGGTTTTAATTTTTATATGCAGATAAATGGATACTTTGCAGTAAACAATTTATGGGAAAATCTCGTGTTTGTGTAATATACTTTTTTTGCAGAGCGCAGTAACAAACAACACATAGGCATAGAATAAATAGCAGCCATTATTAAATCTGTTTAATTGTTGGTTAAATTACTTTAAAGGGAGATTTTCTCGCAAAAGTCGAGCGCTGAGTGTTTTTGGTCGGACAAATGGGCACATAAATACGTTCTGCGACGGACGAATTGCTAGCTACATACAAATACACAGCAACGGCTGAATTAATACTTCATAACAGCTTAGACAAATCTTCGGAACTTCTGGCCTTGCACCAGTGTTTTCACATGTACATTATCAAAATTATGATAAACATTTGACAATTATTAATTGTTTGTTATTAAACAAACCAAACAAACACATCATATTGTGGATTGATGTGGTGTCGTCTGGTTGTAAAAATAGCAGATTGCCACATTCGGTTATACTGAACCATTATTTTAGATTTAAAACATCTAAACACTGGTAATAACGTTTGTAGTCATAAAGTAAATACTGTTCAGAAAACTAGTTCACACAATTAGGAAAACATCAGGCTGAACTAATGTAATTTTTAGGATAAACTGCTATTTCCGTAACGATATGAACTAATTTATGGCACGATTTATTTCGTAGTTTCCCAAAAACTTTATTTAATTAATCGTGTGATGTTTCCTAGGATTGTATGAATCTTTTTTAATTACAGGTCGCAATGAACTGATCGCAAGGTATATAAAATTAAGAACTGGGAAAACACGTACAAGAAAACAAGTCAGTTCACACATACAGGTCTTGGCAAGGCGAAAACTGAGGGAGATCCAGGCAAAACTGAAGGTAGTAAGTATCTACTAAGTTTAGATTGTAGTTCACCGGTTAATAACATGCAGATAATTGCCCAATTTCCGCTGTTCAAAGACACACATGTAGGATGTAGACACTAAGGTGATAGTAAAAATAATATGATGTAGTGTCGCTTTCCCGAATAATTTATAAAGTCGCCGTTCAGGTGTTTGTACTTAATAAGTTAATTAGCTTAACCATTACAATAAGATCGTGTACATATTATCTGTTCATTTGTGAAATGTGTACTAACTGGAGCATGGAATAAGCTTTTTTTCACCCGACAATAACGATTATAGAGACAAATTGTAAACAATCTTTTATCTCTTTTTGTGATGGAAGCAGTGAAATATTGCGATAACTTATGAATAGCGTTAGCGTATAATGACATTTATTTATTCGTGAAGTGAAAGAGCATTTATGACTCAGAATATAAACAAAAAATTGCACAATTGCGTTCATTCTTTACTACAGGGTGCACTCGAAACTAGGCCATCGCTACTGACTTTCGCCCGATGCTGTAGGATCTACACTCGGCGCGGAAGTTGGTAGCCGTGGTTGGCACCCTATATTGCGCTTGGGTCTCTTTGGTTTGTAATAACCCCTAAATAGTGGTATTTGGGTATATTTGGTGATGGTATCTGGTTTGCTAGGACCATGCAGCCAAGGAGAAGGCTCTGCAAACGATGTCGAGCATGTCAAGTGCGCAGATAGTGTCAGCTACTGCAATGCACAGCAAGTCAGCAGGTCTGAGTCTTGGTCTAACTCCCCCCGTCTCCTATACTGGAGCGGTAAGTTGGTCCTCCGCCACGCATCCTGCCGTCCTCCATCCCTCGAAGACGTATGACAGCTTACGCATAGTTGCTATAATGATTTTATTTGTGGTTTCTGACTAATATTGTTTCCTTCTATAATAACAATTTGGGCTTACTTGCTGTGTGTTGCGGCGCTAGGCTTTATTAATTTGTGTTTCCGTTGGCTTGACGTGTTTGTTGCAGTTCGAGTTCGACTCTTCCATTTATTCCGATTTTATTTCAGCAATTCTGGCAGCCCGGATTACAAGCAGGAACGAGCCAAGAGTGAGTTTATGCTAGCGCGTACTCCGCTTTTCTAACATGTGTTATTACAGTGTCAAGCCATTTGCACAGTCTTCATATCCTGCCGGTAAACCCGCGACAGCTGTCTCAGCAGGAGACGTCGGACCCCTGCAAACAGCGCCGCCCCCTGTGTGGGAAGGACGAGCCATAGCGACACATAAACTTAGACTTGTTGAATATTCTGCCTTTATGGAATCACAAAACAGAGACGAAGCAGTAAGTCCTCGATGATTCACGACCGTCACCCGTTACTATATGCTAAAGACTTTTAAAACGACTTGTAGTAGGCCGCATGAATGGTGCATTTACCATAAAGAATTAATTATTGTCTCTCTTAAAGTGCACAGTGCACGCATTCATTGTTGACACACGAATTTGGGAATGTACTATTACTACAAAAAGCATGACGCAAGATCGATTTCTGTTGTAGTAATAAAATTAAAAATTTAGGATTCAAGAAGACAACGAAAAACAAGGCGCTAGAAAATATAAGTTGTACAAAACACGAGCAGGTAGAAACCTCTCAACTTTGCATTTCCTTATTATTATAAATAATTATAATTACATACTCGTTGATAACGTGTAAATTGGCTATGATTTTTGTGGAGATATTAAACACACGAACATGTGGAAACGGTGTACTACTTGAGGAAGCCGACAGCAGTTTATGTAACTAAAGTACGGAGAGCATATTTTCTCTCCTGAAACGACATTTGACAACGTTTTGATAGTCAAAAACTCGATAACAAAACAACCAATGAACTAATGCGATAAAACTTCAAAGTAAATTTCTTGAGGAGCAAAGCATAACCAGGCGTAAGGCCTTTACTGCGATTATTTTATGACAGCAAATCAAAGCAAACTTTTATCGGCTTCCCACCATGTAACATTACGGCAGTAAACAAACCATTTAGAAGATTATGCACTCGTTTATGACATCTTAAGACAATCCATTAAATCTTTCGTCAACAAAAAATGCCTTTAAAGCTTCTTCAGTTTTACAAGGAAAAATGGGTTAAATTCGTTTAGCAAAAATGAACTAGTACAGTCAATCATTATTACTTTAGACATATATAGGTGGATGTCGTACGTTTTTACTTCCGGCGTAAAATCAGAGGTTACATTAGAATATCATGAATTTAAAGAAAAACTTAATAAATGATATGGCTCTTGTGCGGGTTAAAAAAGTCTGGAGTGTTTGGCCTAGACCGTAGTCCAGACTAACACCCTCTAATTACAAAAAGACCTTAGTATAGCTTGTCCAGAGGTATCCCGTTTTTATGGCTCTGACGTCCTCGGTGGTAACCATAGGCATACAATAGGATTTAAATAGTAAAATAGATTTTAAAGAGCGGGTGGTCATTAAAGGTGGGACAAATTAAATACCAATAAAGCAATAAACACGGAATATAGCTGGCCCCACTATAACTGAATCATTGGGATATACCATTTTTCGTAACGGCTTTCTTGGATGCCAAATTTAAATACTCACCCGGTGTTTTATACAATGAATATTTATGTAGTCGGGAACATTTCTTTGTCTCATAAAGGGGGGGGGGGGGGAGTATATAAGAGATGAGGTTTTAAAAGCATTATGATAAAATTTTCCAACTGTAGAGGGTCCATCATACCGTAATAATTGTAGTTAACCTTTACATATCCAAAAATTTGAAATTAGAATTGCGGCCTTAAAAAAAATTGTTATCCACTGAACGTAACAGTACCCCACAGTCACTGGTTAGTTAGTTCGAAGTTGTTTGAAAGGTGAAACATTGTTTGATAACTGAGTAAATGAACTATACTTCAACTAAAAACTTCAGTTAGTATACTGACTAAATAATTTGGATACAGTTTATGAGTATACTTAAGATGATGTTGCATAGTTAACTTCCTGATTTTTTTACTGAAATCTTCCTTATACAAACCAAAATTATTCTTCAAAAATGGTCAGACGCTAACCAAAATTCGACCAATCATCCCCACCAACAACGGGATAACGTGATCTCCAAATTCGACAATAGTAAATCTTGTGGTTTGTGAATACGTCTTGAGTTTTTGCCCTAAACATCCAGCTGTTTTGGAAAAAAATCAAAATCAAAGTAACTTTGAAACTGCAAAACCGAATGCTCTGAAATTTTGCAAACGTTTTAAGGTTATCGTAAGAGTGGTAAATCGTTAATAAAAATTTATCTGTTTATCCCCTCCCAAAAAATTGATAATGTGAACATACGCATAGCATGCTTCTTTACCGGTACCTTAACAGTCCACATATATTGTAACTTCTAGGGGTTTGCAAAATTTAATTTTGCAATAAGGGAAGTTTTATCTGATTAACTTTTTTTTGTATTCGTACCGGAGTTGTTGAAATGTAGGATATTGAGAATTTTTTAAAACGAAGGTAAAGAAATCTTACGGTATACTACTCAAACACGATTAGTTGTTGCAATCTGTCTGAAAGAATTTCGACACAAAGTTTTATTACGTATTTTGTTTTGTGCTGAAGTTATTGTCATAAAAAAGCTGAGCTAGTTGTCTTCGCTTGAATACACTTCTTTGTAATTTAGATTAGTTTTTTTCCACTAAAAGCTTATCGATCGGTTATGACTATTATGTATGCAGATCCGAGGAAAGTGTGAAACTGATTAAATATCTGAAATTAGTTATTTGTATCGCAAGGACAGAAACTAAATGGGTGAATTTGTCGGAACGACCTGATAGACGAGGTTGAAAATAACCAGTATTCGCAAAAGCATGTTCTGGTCAAGTGACACACAAAAATTTTTGTGCCGATTTGTTTTTGTATAAATAAAATTATTATTGATTATATAGTTTTTGATGGGACCAAATTATATACATGCAAAAGTGTAAAAAGACTCGTAGGCGAATGCTAACAGAACTCATCTGACGCCGCGATTCGCGGGTTCGAATTTCGCTTGGTGCTGAACATTTTTTTCTCGCTTTTACCGGAATTTTTTACATCACACAGATTATTTACTTTAATTATTCGGAAAATAAGGTGTTGCCTTCAATTAAAATATTCTAGTTTAAAACTTGAAACACTTCGGTTTATTGCAAGAACATGCAGTAGACAAACCACTTGTCACGGACATAATGACAAGCGATAATACCAATCGCTATTAATAATAAAAAAGATCCCAGGTCTTTGTCGAACTAATCCAGCAATTTTTTGGTTTCTTGCCGTTAGAGATGTATCGGACACCAGTGGTGCGGACCGGATGAACAAAATCTTTTTTTTATGGCAGTCCTTTAAAAATTTTTCATAGGGCATGGAAAATTCAAAATGTTTGATTAATTAATAAAAAAATATAAATGGAAATAAAACAATGATATAATAGCGAATTTTAATAAGCCATATCGTGTATTTAGATTTTTTTTTCAAATTATCCTTCAAAATATAACTTAGAAACATAAAAAATTAAATATATACCAGAAAAACTGATCACCGTGAGCAAAATTTCAAGAAACGACGGTAAATAGTTTTCGAGATATTTAAAAATAACCGGTTCTGGACCTTTGCTCGATTCTTTATATTACCAGATCAGCAAGTGATCAGTGTACCTATTTGATTATGAAGTAAACGATGATCATACCTGTACCCCGTCATGGATACACCATGGAACTTATTTATTATTATTTGCATAATTTAATATCTTTTGTAGTCAGCTATCCTGCCTTCACGTCTTGCTTGACAAATTAACTATTAGCGCAAATATGGTAGAAATATACAGCATTGATTTGACTTAAGTAGCTAATAGATATGAGTCTAAAAGATTTCTTTTTTTTTCAGTATCAAAGGCACCTATTCGTTCATATAGGCGGACCAGCACTATCATACACAGACCCACTTCTGGAGGTAATTTCCTTAAATTCTATTTCAACTCAAGTCTTAACTGGCTGATTCCAGGCCGTGGATGTGCGACAGATATACGATAAATTTCCGGAGAAAAAGGGTGGTCTAAAAGAGTTGTACGACAAGGGACCCCAAAACGCCTTCTTCCTCGTAAAATTCTGGGCAGATCTGAATTCGAACATACAAGATGAGGCTGGTGCCTTCTACGGTGTGACGAGTTCGTACGAAAGTAACGAAAATATGACTATCACATGTTCGACGAAAGTGTGTTCTTTCGGCAAACAAGTAGTCGAAAAGGTCGAAACAGAATATGCCCGGTACGAAAATGGGCGATTTGTTTATAGGATCCATCGAAGTCCCATGTGTGAATATATGATCAATTTTATTCACAAGCTGAAGCATCTACCTGAGAAGTACATGATGAACAGCGTTCTAGAGAATTTCACCATATTGCAGGTATGGTGGTTTTTGTCAAGATATGTTATCAGTGAATTAAAAATTGCTTGATAATTAACAGGTGGTGAGTAATAGAGATACGCAAGAAACCTTACTGTGTACGGCGTACGTGTTCGAAGTGTCGACGTCAGAACATGGCGCCCAACATCACATCTACAGGCTTGTGAAAGACTAGCGGGATAAAGGGCTGGAAAAATCCCTTCACTTCAGTGCCTACACCCTCACAATACTAGTATTATTATTGGTTACATACGTTAGTAAGTAGCTAGGTGAAATACAAAACGAAATTGCCATTTGATGATATATCATGTAAAGCTACCTTAAAATTTGAGGTTATGTCGCCCTTACGTAAACTTAAGTTTGAAGTTTTTGCTTTTATGGTATCACTACTGTAGGAGAAGTTATATATTTTGTTTTCATATCATAAGTTTATTTCTCAATGTACTTTAAGTTTTTCCTTTGATATTCGTTATCAGTAGTACATAATCCACTCAAAGTTTTATGTATTATTGATTCTGTACATCTGCACACATATCTAGATATACTTACAGCAGCTGCATACAAGACAAGCCAGTGTTTAATAATCCTCAGATAATCTGAGCAATATAAGTACCTAATAATACAGTTTTTTTTTTTTTTTTTGCAAAACATTGGCTTTATTCTAAAAACTTTTTACAAATGTTTCAGTTCTGAACTACAAAATTACACGTCGTACCGACTTTAAACAGCTAAAATAGGGGGCAATAATTTTCTTTCTAGTTGAATATGAATACACAACGATATATATCAGCGTTAATTTATTCTTTCACCAACAGAGAATTGACACTTTTGTAAAAAGTAGACATACTATGTGACTGTTTACCCAAGAGATTTTTATTTATTGCGTTAGTATGTACTGAGGCAAGTTTTGTATGTATATTTTGACAACTTCAAAATTTTTACTTAGTTAAGATACTTACACTTTGTCTTGGATACTTGAGATACCTTGAATTTATAGAGTTTGCTATTTGTGATGATAATTTTTAACGTTTTATATAGATTTTTATATTTAAAATACCCAGTATTTTAATTATGATGATGAAGTTTTCGCCAATTAATAAGTTAGCTTTGTGTGGTGTCTCCACAGAACTCGGAATTGTGTTTTGCAATTGTCAACTGAAAGCAGTTCACGGTGGGTTTAATTTAATTAATCATCGTTTTGTGGAGGTTCCAAAACCTTTGTGTTCAATTTGGCAGTTTAAGATATATGCCAATTAGACAATAGAAAATTATTGTTATATTTTCTGAGTGAATTTTCAGAGTATTTCGTAGTTTTTTAATTATTTTGCGTTGTGCAATTTCGAAAAATTACATTTAAAAAAATGATAATTTTATGGATATTATATAATTTAAAAAAATAAGTGGCAATGTTTTTGATCTCTGATTTTATCTTTGCAAATTGTTTAAGTCAGCAATCTGGTAGCTTTTATTTTGTTATATATAAGATTAATTTTTATATTTACTCATGTTTATTTACTTTTTTTTTTTGTTTTCTCTTCTCCTTTCAACGTAATTGACTTTTATTGCACTGGCACAAGTCATTATCTTCTATGAAGGTAAAAAATTTTGTTCAATATTACAAAAATCACGTGGCTATGAAAACTTTTTTATTGTGGTTGTTACTTAATTGCTAGACTTAACTTTAATATAAATCTTTAGATAAGTGAACACTACATATGAACAATAATTATTGTAAAATATCATTTGTACTCTAATAAAAGATCTATTTTAAAAATAAAGTGTCAGTGTAAAAAGTGAAATTGTATATATATTTCTAAAAAATATGGCGGCTATAAATATTTTTATTGTCTTATTGTAAGGTTCTTTATAAAGTGTGCTATATTTAATGAGGTTTTTTTTATTCATATCTGGAAATGCCATATCAGGACGGAAATTATTGAATCTTATACTTTGCTCTGTATGTGTACAGTATTTTAAATCATGTTTATAATTTGTATGGAAATTATAATAATTGACTAAATAACTGTATTTTATTCGACAGCGATCGACCGAATCTAGAATTCAACTACAAAGTTCCATATAAAAATTAATCTTATTTGTTGGGATTGGGACAATCTGGGACAATCCCTTACGATCATAAAAAAAATCATAAAAGCAGACGCGTCATCTAGTTTGATCTGTTTACACTGTGACGGGTGTGGAACTTGGCTAAGGAACTCAGCTGATTTTGACAATTCTTCCACCACGTGATCAAACATAAATATTGTTTGGCAGTTCAGTAATAAAAATGGCTGCTGCTAGTAGTGAAGGTTCGCCAACAACTCCAACAAGCTCTTCATATAATGAAAGAAATGTGTCAAGATCTCCCTCAGTATCCTCCCTGAAAGATTACCAGTGGACCGGTTTATTAATTGCTCGGCCTGTTACGCGAAAAATACTCAAGAGCAGAGGTAAACATTCTTGACCATCAATACTAGTAGAATAGTTTTATCACACTTGCCATCAAAACATTCTACCTTCATTAAAATTAGTTGTCATTTTTATAAAGCACCCTTTACGGACTAATGTCGGAGTCTGCATGCTTTAACGCCCTGTTAAAAATTAGCAGCACTTGAAAAAACATGGCTTCAATATTATAACGGATCTTTCTTCAACGTGTGCTAGTAAAATAAACAGATAAGTTACAAAGTGTGTATGTGTACACACAAAAAATATAATTATAATTTTGTGCAATAAGTATTCTTCTATTTTTGTTTAACGTATTAGAACCAATCATATCACACATCAGTATAAAAAAAATTAGAATATTTAAAGGAATTTACTATTTTATCTCTAGAAAGCGCACATGTTAAGTGTACAAGTACAAAAGCGATTACAAATGCTAATAATTCCTTTTATTTAATGGCCACGTTGTTAAATTTTTTTATAATCTCACTAGACAATGAGGAAATTCGGTTTTTCCATTATAACAAGCAATGTACAACATGTTGATCAGATATACTTAAGTGTCTCCTATTGCTAAAAATTAACGTAAAAATTAGAACTATGATAAAATTTAATCTGCAAAACACAAGAAAACAGACGAATATCAGTTCAAATTTTAACGTGTAACGTAATTTTAAAAACTTGCAACCACTTTTATTATCATTGATCTTTGAAAATTTGGATATCCAAATATTTATTTACAAGACTACTAACGCAAGTTGTTGATAAGGCGACTAAATAAGTTTAAAGCAAATATTGAAAAGTACCAACTAAATATGTAAAAAAAGTATGTCGTTTTAATTAAAAAGAGCACAAGTTGAAAAGTAATCATGTTACAAATGTATGAAAAATAAAATTCATTACTTGCCTTAGTACATTTGTGAAGTACTGTTTGCAAGTAGTATTACACTGTAAAACCTAAAATTATTATCTTTGTAGAAAACAAATTAAGTAATAAAAATTCTACATTTAGAGGTAAAATTCATCGTAACACTACAGGTTTCATAGAACATGTCGCCAACTGTTGGTTTTTAAAAAACTCTCATCTTCTTTCTAAATTTCTTTGGAAAGGATATTAACGTTGCAAACAAAACTTACAAGTTATATAACTGTCATTTATATCAAGGTTTTTGTGTTATAACTTATAAGTTATGTTTTCCACAGGCTCCAATGTTATTGGCAAGGTCCCATTGTTATGGAGCAAATGCCTCAACAAAGAAACCCATAATAGAGGCATTATAAATCCGACCGCAGAGGTGCATCTTTTTAGGCTGAAGTACAAATGCTAAAGATGCACCCTTGTCGTCAGGTTTATATTACCCCTATTATGACCTTTGTTGTTGAGGTATGTGACTCCATAACAATGGGACGCTGTCATATAACATTAGAGCCTGTGGCAGAGCTTACCAAAGAATGTTAACAAGAATGAACAAGAAGCGACACTTGTGTCGGTATCTTTGATGTTTGCTGTTCAATTTTGGTGACCTTCAACCAGTCTGTCGGGGTGCTTGTCGCGGGAATTTTGAAAGTTGATTTTTATGAATGGATGAATGCTGACATACTGACATAAATAATTTATCTGCGGACAAAACACATACATGAACATGTAATAATTTTTTATAAATATTTATAGTTTGATTTCTAATATGCTATTTCATTCAAGATTTTTAAGAAATCGAAAAAAACTTATTCTTCTGTCGTTTCGCATTAAACAAGATTTCAGAGTACAGGAGTAGCCTCGTTTTATTTTTATCGGTGGGTTTTCCAATGATTAAGTTATTATGTGTAAATCAACCGAACCTCCAAAATCAACATGTTTGTTCCGTATGTTATAGCTCTGAAATGTGTATGAAATATGTGACAACAAACGTCTGTGTTACAACTGTTACTTACAATAAACAAAGACAGAACAGTACAGTATAGCTTTACTAGACACACTTTGGTGAATCTGCGCAGTAGAAATCATTTACTCCTTGTTCATGAGAATGTCGCTTCTTGTTCATTCATGTTAATATTCTTATAATCTACATTCAGGGACGTTCGTTTAGCCACTGTCCAATTTTAAGCTAAAATAGCATCATGTTACTTATATTTTATACGTATAGCCAAGTGGAATGATTCCTGTGAATACTAGACTTGACAATATAATAGGTTAAAGAACAACTACATAGTATACTTTAGAAGATTTTCTTTAGTAAAGTAAGGTGGATTTTTGATTTCCCCTTTTTGCATTAGTTCTGCTCGAGTGGTTTGCTGCATAACGGGATTAATGAATAGATAGGATTCTAATTATTATTAGTTCAAAGTACGAAATCTTCACGTGATCATTTAAAGCGAGTTTTTTCGTTTGGCGCATGGGATTTTCAATACATTTTCAAAATGTAATACATTTCTCCATTATTAACAGACTTGTCGTTATGAAATTTGAAATACAACTTGTCCACAATTTTCTCTATATAACGCAAGAGCAGTGTTTTTCTTAAATAAGTTTATTATCATTTTTTTATTGTTGATGTTGTTCATGACGCATTTTTAAAATCAATATCGCCATTATTTATGGAAATTTCGAAATGCAGTTTTATTAATTGTTTTCAGCTTACAAAATTCTGTAAATTACCCGGAAAACATCAATTTTTTTGTTGCAAATGAGATACAGTAAAAGGAGCTTCGTCAACACAATCCTTGTTTTACCTTTCGAAGATCAGTTCTAAACAAGTATCGTCTAATGGCAAAATAGTATACATATTTACTTCTAAGAGTACGGAATTAGCATTGAATTTGAAAAAACATAGCTACTTCAATTAAATAAAAATGCATTACATAATAAAATGTAAAATGAATTAAAAACATTCACTATTTTGTGCAAAAAATACTTTCCTCCATTGACTGAGACTTATTTTCATGTTTAGTTTCCTAGCATAAGCTAAGGAAGTATTGTATAGTCATCTAAGGTTAAAATAAGGTTTTTGCGACTCCCACTCCAACGTCCCCATTGCCAACGAACAATGCAGATTGACTAGAGACACATTTATGACACCATCCCAAATTTCTTTAAACGCTTTTTGTATATATTATTATTTATTACACATTTTAAATTTATAATGTTCAGGATTATCCTGTTGTTATCCAATTGTTACAGTTTTTTTTTTATCCACTGACGGTACGTTAGGGTTTAATACCTAATATACCATGTACGATCCTGTAATGAGCCCTCTTACGTGCGGTCAAGTTTATCGGTTTATGGGTATTAGTTTAAGATGCTCATTATTCGTTGACAAGGGGGACGTTGATGTGAAAGTCATAAAACCATTACTTCCGTAGACGAGCTATAATAGGTTAGCGACTGGCTACTTTCATGTTTTCTCGGCGCTACATGACCCCCAGAGTACGAAAAAATAGGTCTCCCCTTTCCGTCTGTCTCTCTGTCCTCTGTGTCAACCTTTTATAGTAACTACGATTTAAATTTTATAACATAACAGACTCCTGTACGTGTTTTCCCCGAGGTATCCAAATTCTCGCAAAAAATTGAAATTGTATAGCAACCTTTCCACAAGGCTATTCGTTTTTTGTTTCTTACACTATTACTGCTATTATTTATATCTAACAAGACGCGGAATAAAATCTCACGCGCTCGATCCAGTGCCGGCGCGTCGATACTTTGATTACAAATATATTTGCCTCTTGGACTATATCAACATAATTTAACATTTCAAGATAACAAATCTGTGGTGTGTGGTTGAAAAATTAAAAGGGGTATCGAATATTATTATTTGAAGCAGTATTAGTCTGAGTATTGGCAGCCGTAAACATTCCTAGTGAGACGCACTGGCGAGATCCTTGTGGACCAGATCAAACCCTACTACTCGTCGTAAAACACACCTTACTTCAACTGAGCGATTGCAGCACTGAGCTTTTATTCCGTGCGTTGATTATTAATATGACTACACGTGGCCGACTGCTATACGTCACCTTATTGAAATATTGATTGGCACATTTTCAAATTTTCAAACTCACTAGAAATATACAACCTTGCACTTTATCAATGCATTTATATTTTCGGAGCAATTGTTAATCCGTTTCCTATCGTGAGTGGAAAAGTGCGCTCCAGACCAAATATCAACAAATTAGCTGAATGTGTTTTCGTAACATAATACGTTCGAATTAGAGGCAGCATGGACGATTAAAGTATGATACATTAAATGAATTGAGAAAAACAAGTTCTTCAAGAATCTCTAAAAAAATATAAAGGGTGTCATTAAGAAAAAATTACATGTCGTAGGCAAACACAAAGAAATGTAGGTAAAAAATTTAATTTGTTACAGTTTTACTGGTATTATCTATATTTATTTTAAGCTCTAGCTTAAAAAAAAAAGCTAAATTTTTTAGTAAAAGTCCAGTAAAATATTTGAGTAGTACTAATGATAATGTAAAGCTCTAGTAAGTTGCAATTAATTAAAGTTAATTATTAAATTGTTAACAAAATTTGAGGGTAAAAACGGCATTTTAAAGTAAATAGAAATTTGCCCGTGGTCTCGGAATTTTAATGAAACTGTGGAATTAATAATCTACATAACGATTCATTTAAAAGGTCAAGTTATTTTGATCCCATCCCTTTTAAACCTTTATTGTGCGCGAAACTTTATTAACCAACTCAAAGTATTTTCGTAACGACGTATGCAAATAATAACTATCAAGAAAGGTTAATCCAAAAAAAACTCTCACATTTATGTTCGAGTAGAAAATCAAAATTAAATAAATATGTAGCGATTTTCCACTAACGGAATAAATACAAGTTAAATGTGTTGACATTTTAAAGATCTATAAACACTGCAATTTACGTTTCAAATAGGTGGAAATGTTGCACTGCCTAGATAGGTTACGTTTTAGTTCATTTATATTGTATTGCATGCAATAATCACTATAGCACTGAGGGCTAAAACACAGGTATGTACATGTAAGAGTAAATTTCATAGTTTTTTAGCATTGCATAAGTAATTTTTGAAACATTACTGAAAGACTAGTTAAACAAGCAACAATTCAAAAATGTGGACAAAGTAATGGAATTCGACACAAACATAGAACCTATAAAACTAGTAGCCTAAGTGAATTAACGACATAGAATAAACGGTATTGAAATAAACAAATAAAAACAAAGTGACACAAATATTTAAACGTCCCAAATAGCTTTTTTCGGTAGTTTAAAAAAAAATTGATTGTCCAACTAATCATTATATTTTATAATTTTTGTTTTGTACAACTGGTTGCATCTATTGAAATTGATTATATTAATAAATTGAATTTTTCGTAGCCATTTTATTTTTTTACATAACAATTTTTATTCACTAAGTATGCGCAGTGACTCGAATATACTCATATTTCCCCCCCTTTTAGATTAATTATAAATAAATATAATCCAAAATGCATATACATATAAAAATTAATAATGAAATTTCATTAAGTATTCTATAAGTTGTTGTTGATGTTGTGTTTTTACGGAAAGCGCACTCGTCTGTTGAACGAAGCATCGGTAGATTCACGTGATGTTGTTTTAAGGAAGTGACTCGTTTTAATGAATACACTATAGAGTCCGCCATCGCGACTTCGGGCACCACATCCAGGCTTTTCTCAATTCGAACGCCCCCGTCACCGATGATGAGTCACCGCTGCTCATCGCCGCACTTACTAGAAACGCATAGGCGTTGTACTGGGTGGTGTATGGGTTTATTGCGTAACAATTTTAACAGACATCGTTGAGTTATGCAAGCAATTTGTCTGACCTTCCTTTTGCGAACTATTATAGTTTGAGCCGTTTGACATGGGACTAATTTTCGTACTAAATTGTATGCGAAAAATTAAAACCAGTTCTAAATTCTTGTATACAAGCAGGCGCGCGCATTCTATCGCATTCAATTTAGTACGAAAATTAGTCCCCTGTCAAACGGCTCTTATAAACTTCAAAATGTAGAATTCTGAGTTGTTGGGGTGTGTGTTCGTATTTTAACGTCCTTTTTCTAAAACTTGGCTCAACGTTTTTGGAGAGAATTTGCCTCGCCTCTAAAGAATAAACAATACAATACTTAGCTTGTTTTTGAATCGATTTGTTTCATAATATGATGTACTGATAAATATGACTAATATATACATATACTAGGGATTCAAGGTATAGTTTTGGAAATTTTATTGGCAATAACAAGACGGACAGTAGTACAATAGTGAGAGATATTTACAACTTAAGTTGTCGCGTGCCGGTAATCCCCAGATGTTAGAAAACAAAATAATCCAGGTCCGGACAGGGACCATCGTTACTCAGGAACGAAAATGACTATTATTTTATGAGTACAACTACCTGCTAAATGTTCTCCGACAAATTCGGGTAAACTGATGTGAGCCATAAATATTTCTTACCATTGTACTAGTATTCATCTCGTTATTGTTAATAAAATTTTATAGGGTAGATTGAAATTTCCAAAACTATAATTAAGGTCTAATAAAATGCCCTCTGCATTTTAAATAGAAGTTAGGAAATTGGTTGTTATGTTTATGTATAATTTTGAATAGTTATAGAATAAAAAAATATATACATACGAGTACCTACCTATCAAAAATTGGGATCCATTTTTTCTTGTTCGAGTTTAGCAAATCAAGTCCAATCATACGTACAGTGCTATATTTCGACTAAATTATCGAAAGACTTAAACTGAACTGATTTTCATGCGAAGGATACAAATGAATTTTTTTAGGAAGAAGTAACAAGTTCGTAAATATACAGAAAGTAACTAATTTTTGTGTTGTGCTTACCAAGAGGTATTCTGCAAAAAGAAGGGTCTGGGAATTAAACTTAAAAGTCGATGCATTTAAAATTAGAGTGTACATTCAGATAAACAAATTAATACAGCTTTGTTTCCGTTATAAAAATAAAGAAATCGATTGTTATTATTTTGTCATTAATTAATAATCGATTTCTTCGTTTTACATTGGAAACAAAAATTAGTAATTTGTGTGCTCAATATAAAATCTAATTTTAAATGGATCAAGTTGGATTTAAACCTCCGGCCCCTCTTGTTTTTGGAGAATATTTCTTTGTAAGCATAACTTAAAAATTGCTATTAGTATCATTATGTTTTTACCATAACATTTTGTTTTACTTACCGGAAGTAGGTTAGGGAGGTATTGCAATAGGATATGTTTGGCGAAACGCTAGAATATGAAAAAAGGGCTTTCATTTTCGTTTGTCAGTCGTCTGCAGGCGATCAGACAAAGAAAATCTCCGAAACTACTGATGTGAAAGTTAGAAGGTTTTCCTAATCACCCCTCCGTAATTTTGATGACGTCATTTCAAAATTTAATTAAGTAAGTGGTAAAAAATGTTGTTCATACGGTAGGTTTCTGTAAGAGTGAAAATCAAAATGGTACAATTTATTTATACATCTCTAGAAAGTTAACGCAAAATTTATTAAATGAATGACTTATTTTAATTTTTTATAAATGTTTATGCACGATTTTAAAAATTAATTTTTTGGTTAAATGAAAAATGGTTTACCTAATTTTCTCAAAATTATGAGAACACAATATGGTTTTTTGTTTTAATATGGGGGCGTTATCACAAAAAAAATAGAACCAATTTTCACAAGTTATCCAGGAAACTGGAATTGTTTGATCGTGCTTAATGTCGAGGCAAGCGCTAAATAACTTTAAGCTAATTTTTCTTAAAATAACATCTGCCCCCGCGTTTTTTGCAACCTCCCCTGGGATCTGTTTTTGTTCTCTGTTACTCTAAACAGTACCTGTCGCGTCCAAGCAACCCCCGTATTGGACTCGGTGGCGGCACAAGCGCATATTGATCCCAGGAAAGCCCACCCATTCCAAAGAAAATCAATACCGGCTATCCAGTTTCCAGAATTCAGTGACGATGTACATTCAATGTGCGAAAAATTATCTGTTAAAACGGCCGTATGTGTTTACCGATCCCTTATCGTTCTCCGAATGAGTAATCGAAGTATTTCCTTTGTTTCTGATGTAAAATACACAGTCCACTCATGAAAGTCCAAGAAATAATCGAGGGCGGTAATAACGCCATGGAACAAGAAATGGCGGGGGCGCAAGATACTATTTACCTCTGCAATTTTCGTGTTTCTGTCGACGGAGAGTGGCTTTGCCTCAAGGAACTGCAAGACGTTGAATTTAACATGCAGGATTCGATTACTCAACCCCTTTCCACGCCGTCCCCGGACGTTCCTGTGCAACCTTTCGGTACAAAACATTTTCATTGCAGAGTAAATATTGCGAAATCGATTCGGATAAATGTCAGGTTTTGCTAAATTAACCTTTTCGTTATGTTTATTCTTGTTTGACTCGTCATGTTGAAAGGTTTTTCTTTGTGTTGCTGTTTTTTTTAACAGTAATTTTTGTTGTCTCGCAGGTCGGGATCCTGTGGTCATAGAAAGAAGCAACTTGGTCAACATAAGTAAATTAGTTGTTAAAGAACTTATCGAACAGTCTCTGAGGTATGGCCGCATGCTGGATTCGGATCATATGCCTCTTCAGCATTTCTTTATAGTTTTAGAACACGTCTTAAGACATGGTCTACGTCCAAAGAAGGTATTTTTTTCGTTTTTGAAATATCGGTGATTATTATATTAACTTTGGATTTTAGGGACTACTCGGCCCTAAAAAAGAACTATGGGATATTCTGCAGATGGTGGAAAAATTTGCACCAGAAGCCCAAGATATTACAGCGAGTGTTCGCGATTTACCTACTGTCAGGTGGGTTAACCAAGGTTTTTTTTGTCATCTTTAGGTGTATATCATAATCAGGCGATGCTGTTTTAAAAACATTATAATACATATATACATTTTTGGTTGAATATTGAACGATCACTAATATTTCTGTTGGAAAATCTAAACGAAATAAGTTACCGAATAACAATTATTAAATTACCCTGAGTATAAAAAAAGAGATAAAATAAACTGAACTTGAAGTTTTCGAAACAATTAAATATGTTTTCGTTTGGCAAAAACGGCATGCAAAAGAAATACTGAATTTTTATAACCAATGGATCCATTTTGATCCAATTCTATGCAAGATCGGTCTAGATAAATTATAATAGATATTAATTGTGAAAAGTGACCTAAGATCAGGTGCATTATCATAAACATAATTAAGAACGTTCAAATCGAAGATTTTAAACAAATGAAAAACCCTTCCAGCCAAAAACGCTATGTTTTTCCAAGTAGTTACTTGAATGTGATTAAGTATGGATTTTTCATTCAAAACTTGTTGTGCACTACGTCCAGCGTCGATAAGCGAATACATACTTAAGGCTAAGGCTCTTCCTTACAGTCATTAAAAGCTCCAAAATAAGTTAAAACACTTTTTCAAATGTCGTCCTTACGGTAGCACTTGAAGACTAATTATGCTACACATGCATATGTATTGTTGACAATACAAAAATATTACGAGAATAATTTTTATGTTGAATTAGAGGCTTTGCGAAAACCTAAAGAATATTAGTGTCTACCCTGTGGTAATTATGTATTATTTTTTGTGTTGAACTATGCATTTTTTAGTTATTGTTGATTAATGCAAAATTAAATAGCGCATTTTTGTAAGTGTAGGCAACCCAACATCCTCCTCTTCCTTCAGATATGCTTTTGATTTATTAGAAGGAGGTTCACTATTTAGCAGTGGTTGGTGACTTTTAAAAAGTAATGCATTGCAATTACAAATTACTTTTTTTAACGAATTCATTACAATTACTCATTACACATTGCACTTTGAAAATTTTGATGAAGACACGATTTTAGATATTTCTTGTATTCAAAAGTTCAAGAAAAAACGTGTTAGAATGAAAAAGGCAGTGAGTGATTTATTTTACTGACGTATTTGTTAGATATTCACATCAGTAAATAAAATGAAACAAATAAATACTTCACGGAAGAGGACTATATTCATAATTTAAATTCAATAATAATTGACACTCAAAATTTTGGAATTGTTGTGCTATATTTTATAAACATGTTTGTAAAACATGGAGCACTTTGATTCAGTAGATCTAATTGTCTCCTTTTATTCTTTTGAATATTGTCAAAATGTGTTTTTACAAAATCTTCATCTGAGGGAGTTCGATTAGCTAAAGGAAATTTGAAAAAATCTTCTAAATCTACAAATGGACCGCATCGACTAATTTTTATAACTAATTGTTCTTCTAAGGCTATAATGGCATCGGTTTCGTGATCTTTACTCTTTACCCCACATATAATAGCTGGAGTATTTATTTGCCGCGTATTATATAACATCGAACTAACAGTTGTTTCACAATTAGTATAGGGCATATTTTACCAAAAATTGAAGAACCGATTTTTTTGCGCTAATTTCATTCCACCTTAGCTACAAATAAAAGTTCGATGCCAACTGCAATAACTTTTAAACAAAAATTTGCTTTGGTGGGAGACTTCAAAATATCTTATTGGCTACGTGTAAATGTATCGTAAATATTAGTCCACCGACAACTACCTGCGGACGCAAATCTTTTAATCTTTAATCAAAAAGATGTTCCTAAATACTTAGAAGGGGGCTACAAGATAATGTAAACTTAAGAGGATTCCTTCCGTATTTTTCTTATGGGAGATTCAATACATCTACCCGAACAAATATCTTGCGAACCATCAACAATATTGACTAAAATTTTATATGTATGTAATGTTCTTAATATTCTCAACAGAACGGATTTAGAAAAATTTAAATTTTCGTTCGGTATCATTTCGAAATTAAGGGCATAATTAGACCAAATATCATAGGTTTAGCTTTAAGGCTTTATCAATCGAAAAGTAGTAATTTGCAAAAACGGTCGTGGAGATACTATGTTTAAAATTAGTTTGCTGAAAATCGGAACTTAAAATTTTAATAAATAATTGAGTATTTAAGACGTAACGATTAACCATCTGAAATTTCTTCGTCTTATTTTGATTTACAACAGACCATCAGAATTAGCCGCCGTTTATGTCTGGGTTGATTTATGGCAATCCCTTCTAGAGGATCCGGACAGTTGGGTTTTTGTAATTGCGAGAGATTACTGTGTAGGTAAATATACAATAAGTTTCTCTGTTCTGAGAATAAATAATATCCTTGCAAATTACTGGTACAAATTTACCTGTTTGTTCGGTCTAGTCACCACACCATTTACTTGTTGAATTTTGTCTAGTGCTGTGTGTCTTGTCTTGTGTTTTTTTTTCGTATATTTTATTTCGTTGGATTTTAAACAAAACAGTTTTTTTACTTCCCGAGCGTAAGCAAAGGAAGTATTGTAATCGAGTCCGTCGGCCGACTCTCTACTTTTACGTTTTCTCGATCTTTCATGACCCCTAGAATACGAAGAAATAGGTCTCCCATTTCCGTCTGTCTGTCTGTCTGTCCGTCTGTCTGCCGTCCCGGATTTTTATTAGACAGATAATCTCCGAAAGTACTGGACCGATTGTTGTGAAATTTTGTACTTATATTAGGAATATCACGTAGAGGTAAAAAGCTAACCAAAATTTGTCTAATCATCCCCACCACTAATGCGATGACGTCACTTCAAAATTGTACAGAGTAAATGGGTCTTAAATTGTATAAAATAACATAGTCCTTTACATGTAGTTTACGACTCCGAATTCAGTTTTTACCCGAAACGTCCAGATTTTTGGAAAAAAAATCAAAATTATAAAACAACATTTTGCAATTTAATTTTAATCTGCTAACCCGAATGTTTTGAAATGTTGCAGATGTTTTAAGGCTATAAAGAGCATCATAAATCTTTAGTCAAAATATATTTGGTTATCCCCTCCAAAAACTTGATGACGTCAGCTCAAAAGTTTGCCGAATAAATCCTATCTAAAATGTACAAAATATGATGCGTCTGTACTTGTGATATATCACTCCAGTCATATTTTTTGGATTTGCATATACAGGGTGACTCAAAAAAAATGAATGCCTAAATTTGTTTTATTGGTTTAGTCAGGAATCATAAAACCGAATGCTTTGAAATCTACTGCGAAAAAAAAACATAATAGGCATGCAGTCGTCACGTTTCCGACAGCGAGGGAAGTACTGTCTAAACTCTTTAGACCAATTTTTTAAGACTACAACTAACTTACTCTTTATTAGAGTGAGGTAAGTTATCGAAATTAAGACACTTAAAAAATTTGTTTTGACAGTATAATTTGTGTTATACAGTGCGGTAAAACATTTAATATCTATGTTCCAAAATAAAAAGTTTTTGAAGTTGGTGGGTGTTGAGTTTTGTTACGAACGCGAAAAAAATTTTGTATGCGACTCGTGAGTAAATTAATTTTTTTTTGACTCGGCGGATTTGCGCACTCGCCTTCGGCTCGTGCGGCAAATTTTCCTTGTCGTAAAAAAAGATACACTTTATACACTAGTTGCATAAATAACTACATATTTATGTAAAAAGTAAATTAAAATACAACATTTTAATACCATTATTAACAGTTAAATTATTAATTACCTAACAGCTTTACTTATATAATATCACTGGCAGAAAAAAATTAAATAACAGCAAAATACAAATTATTAGTTAAGAATTTATACAGAATCCGATACCGAGAGAAATGAGTGTCTTTCAATGGGTTGGATCCATAAATTATTCTTACTAAAGGGGTGGTGAGCTGGACGTTTTTATGACATGCGATTAGAAGTGAGTCGGTGTTGACAGCAAGGGCAAATTGTCCGTTCTCAAGGACGAATTCTGGAAGGAATGCTCTTAAAAGTTTGTCATTAATTGCCTCTTACTTGGCGTTGTGACTTACAGATTAAATTTAGAAAACCTTAGAAGGTGGACACTGTCATCAAATTTTATTGTCGGATCATGAGAGGTTTAAAAGGACGGGCTATATCGGTTACCTGTTATAGATTTGAGTGAACCAGAAAAATGCCTAAAGTTTGTTTGACCACAATTTTTAAATATTCTGTCCCTGTTTACTCAATTATTTATTAACATATTTTATTTCTGTAAAGCGCAATGGATTTTTTATACAATTTCCACTAATGTACCTTTTTGAAAATTTAAAATTGATCCATAAATAGAGAAAACCAGATAATTTCATACTCATCACAATTTGAAAGGGTTGTAGTTTTTTTTTTTGACAACAAAATTAAAAAACGGACGACCAGTCTGGGTAGGGTTTTTTACGCTCATTTCAACGGTGTGAAGTTTATTACAATCGGACGTATACTTTTGGCAAAAACTTGGGCAGAAGTGTATATGTATTTCCCTATGCTGGAATATGCTTTAGCTTACCCTTAAAACGATCAAGAGCTTATGTATATTTTGGTTACCTTGTTTCTTAACAAATTCTGTGCTAAACTCGTTTTAGATTTTAATTCCCTATTGGGTTAATCTTCTCTTTGTGGGTATAATAATCCCAGCATGTCAGGTAAACGATTCGTAGAGAAAAACAAAACAGTATTTTTGAGTATAAAAGTGACTGTATTACTCAAATTAATATTTCGTTACAATTACTCATTACACTTTTTGAAAAGTAATGCATTACAATTACTTATTATTTGAAAAGCAATTGAATTACAGTAATGAATTAGTTGTAATTGAATTACTTCCAACCACTGGTGTTTATAGCATCCAAAGTTAGAAATAATTCTTGCTCATTTGAAACGAGATGTAGCCATATATTATACTATAGAATGTACCTGAAGTAGCCGTAAATTTTGATAAAACTGTCTTATTATAGTACTCTTAAAACAAACAGTAATTCTAGCTGTTGAAGCGGTTGGGCAATTTCGTGTGTCAGTAATAGTAATAGTAATGGTTTTAGGTATTTCAGATTCTTGATTTTAAATTTTTTAATTTAACTATTTTTATCACTGGAAAATATTCTATATTTCGTGAATGTTTTTCCTGTAATTTTAATTCAGTTATTTATTGTACTTTTTCTTTCCTGAAATGAAATTAAACTTTTGATTTATGTCTAGATAACTTCGGTTGTCACATCAATATAATACAGAATCTTTAGGTTGATCTTTGTGTTGATAATAAGGGCTACCTCATTTGCATACTTTTTCAACAGCGATTTTAAAATTCACTTCAGAAGTGGACCGCCCACTAATAAATCAAAAGCATTGCCTAGATTTACCAAAAATGGGCTATTTAAGTTTGTTTTAACAATATCTAAAACAGGTATAGTTTAACAAAAAAATAACGATTACTCCCGGGTCAGGAATAATATTCTCTTTACTGTTAGTCTTTTAAAAAGCAAAATAAGTTATAATTTTGACTTAAAAAGAAAAACGGTTTTTTCGGTTATTTAACAACGACGAAAGCGTCCAATACAGTATAAAAATTATTTACACATCGTCATGAAGTTAAATTGTGACAGAATAATTAACTGAATCATAAAAAGATAGCAACTTTAATTCTCTTCATTCTTACAAATTATTGTAATTTATTTAAATGACGCTGTCGGTAGACGTTGGTACTGACATTAAAGAAACACGTTTCCCTTGAGCTTAAGTGTAAAATTCTTACCTAAACAAATTTTTTCACTCCAGGAGAATTTATCACCATGTCTTAATTAAATTTTCTCAAAAATCACATAAAATACTAGTGCTTCAAACAACCAGCCCTTCCTTAATCAAATAATTAATACACATTATTAAAAGCAATTAAGAAGAAATGACAAATGTGTAAGTTCTTTAAATATTAAAAAAAAGGTGTTTCTTTCAGGCAAAAATTAAAAAACAATGCTAGATTAAGAGTTATCGTTGCTGTGGGTGCATTTTTCGATAAAGATTTATTTATGTGCTTTTTATCAACCTGGTGGGTGAACGTAAATTAATTTTGATATGTATAGCACAAAATTAACCATTTCACGGAAACGGAACCGGAAATTGGATAAACCATTAGTGTCAAAAATGAAGAATCAACCTTACTTCAATTTTTTAAAGACTGTTTCAAGTAATAAAAACTGAAAGTATTTTACCAAAGTAAAATAAGGACAGATTTTTAAATGACCATTTTAATAATTTTGAAAATGACAACATTAATTTACCAGATACGTCATTCTACATTTTTAAAGATAAATACGTATGTATTCATCTTTATTTATATAATATGTATGTATTCGTCTAAAGTTCCCGCGCATTTCAAGCACAATCAGTTAAATAAGTTCATATTCTTAGATTCTCCGTATTTTATTTATTTGTTTAGTTATTTTTGTTATAATAACTTCTGTAACTTAAAATAAAATATGCTTTAAAAGAAAGTTTCTCAATACAATTGTGTGATGACACGATCAACTTTATATTAGAGACAAATACAGCAATTTGGATCTAATCAGTAAAATAAACTGCTGCATTCATTAGTTTGAAACACCCTGTATAAATAATTCTCAACAATTGGTGTGTATAAACTGCATGTACAGAAGTATATTTTTCTGAATATTTCAAATGAGATTGATTTCGCAAAATTTTGAGATGCATCATTTTTTTTTTTTTTGAAGAGATGAGCAGATAAATTCCGAATAGCGATTTACCATTCTCACGATAACCTTAAAGTGTGTACAAAGTTAATTTCTAAAATAAATTGTAAAATTTTGGGATGGCATCACATTTTTGGTGAGGATAAACAGACAGATTTTGGTTACTTTTACTTTGTCGTCAGTTGATTTTTTGAAAAATATTTAAAATTATGCGACAAAATGTTGCAGTTTAACTTAAGTTCTATAATACCGATTCCATGTTAATTAGACGTTTCTGACCAATCCAGTATGAAGGAATAAATAATCTTTCATAATTTATCTAAGAAACTGGACACTACTGTCTGATGATAACATTATGATTAATTGATTCTGCTATGATTGCTTACAGGACGCACATGGGCCGTGCTCGAGCTTGGTTGAGATTAGCTTTAATGCAAAAGAAACTTGCAGATTATTTGAAAGTGCTAATTGATCATAAGGACGACGCGCTAGTGGAATATTTTGAACCGGATGCTCTCATGTTGAGCGATGAAGCAATTGTGATAATTGGCCTCTTGGTGGGATTAAATGTGATAGATTGTAATTTATGTGTAAAGGTAAGCAATGAAATATTTTTTTTTAATGACAATCCAACTCGAAAATTCTTAACCAATAAAATGGCAGAATTGTTTGAAATTTGTCCAATGGCATTCACCGAAAAATTTTTTCAGTGAAAAAACTTTCTTCTGTCAGGCAACAACACTGTTTTTCAGCGAAAAAAAATATGTCAAATTAATTTGTCAAACTTGTCAAATAAACTTTAATAAAAAAATGATAATGTAACATACAAATTACTTTTCTGTTGGCGTTAAAGGCATAATCTTTCAAAATACTGGCCACCTCGTTCATTTCGACTGCTTTATTCAGAGGAAACTTGCGTATTTCACAAAATTCTGTAAACTGCTTCCAAATTGAATCTTGCGTTCTTGCGGTCTTTCGGCACTGACTTTCTTTCACTGCATTTCGAATTTCATACACAGTCTTGTTACCAAATCTTGCTTCCAGAATTAAGAAAATCAACCAGCAGCACACACAAAATTTGATGTTTAGAAATTTATTTACGTTTTGCCTTTTTGTTTTGTTACTATTTAGACTAAGTAGGTATGGTTACTCAACAACTACGCTAACTATAAATTATTTGAATTATTGTCCGTAAAAACTAATAAAAATTTTCTCTTTGGATTGTCAAGCCGAATATAACTCGTGATCTGATTTTTTCTGCAAAATTTGTGTGAAAATTAACTCGTAGCTGTTGTTTTTGGAAAATCACACTCGTCTCCTTCGTCGACTCGTGTGATTTTCGTCGCAACAGCTACTCGTTAATTTGTGTCACAAATTTTGTCGGAAAAAATCAGACCACTTGTTATATTATATTTGACAACACCATGAGTTTTTTCAGGAAGAGGATTTAGATTGTCCACAGGGTGTAATAGATTTTTCTTTGTACCTAAGATCTTCGAATCATGTCTCGAGTGATTCCAGCAACGATGAGCAAGGAGATAACATGACAACAGTACTTGATCAGAAAAATTATATTGAAGAACTCAACAGACATCTCAAGTAATTACATATTTAGTATAATTTCTATATGGTATTTGAATGTATCATTTCATCGTAGCGCAACAGTTACCAACTTACAGACTAAAGTAGAATCTTTAACAACAATGAATGCTTTGATGAAAGAGGATCTTGCAATTGCCAAAAATAGTTTATTAGCTTTGTATGAGGAAAATAGACAGCTTAAACAAGAATTGGGAAAGGACGTCAGCGGGTACTGCATGAGTTCCAGCGGGGTACAGATTACGAATATTAACGAATCAGAAACTAACGGGAAAGTGATAATAGGCGAAGTGGAAGAGTTGAAACAGAGGCTTGAAGAAGAACGCCGATTAAGACAAGAAGCTGACAAAGAGTTGGAATTACAGGTTAGTTGCTTTCAACTAAACTAACTGAGTCGTTTTTAAAATGCTACTTTAGATGTGTCTAAAGGCCGAAATGGAAGTCGCCATGAAGCTCTTAGAAAAAGACATTCATGAAAAACAAGACACGATAGTTTCGTTACGGCGTCAACTAGACGACATCAAACTCATAAATCTAGAAATGTACAAAAAACTACAGGTATGTCGAGATCATCAGCTTTTTGTGTTTTTTTTTTCAGATCATGAGTATTTTATTTTGAAGTTTTTACAGATTTTTTTTTAAGTTTTTGTATGTGTTCATAATAAACAACTAGCTGATTATAGGAATGTGAAATGGAGCTGACTCAAAAAGGAGAGGTGGTGAGTCGTCTTCAGGCTAAAGCGGGCCAGATCGGCAAAATTCTGAATAACTTAGAAAAGTATAATCATTTGTTAAAAGACGATAAGAAAAGCTCTGAGAGAAGATGTAGCGAAAAAAGACAAGCTGCTAAATTACAAAATAAAGAAAAAGTAGCAAAAACAGAAAATCACTCGCATGAGCCCAAGCGTGACGACAAAACTGAAACGCATTCAGAACAGTCTGAAAAAGTTGAAACTGGTAAAGAACCGGCGACATCAGAGTCAATAGATTCGTTTGTTAATCTTGAATTTGATGCAAAACAAGACGAATTTGAAGAAACTAAGTCTTCTGCATAATCATAGTTGTTTATTGTTCGGATATCACTGTATTTAGTTAAATTTTTTCTAACACTAGTGTGTTGTCATATGTAATTTTTTCATATTTCGTTTTTCGTTCAAAACATCTGCGCCTTAAAATACATTAGCACCTAGTATTTTAGCAATTTAAATTCAGTACAAAATCGGTACTCTATGCTTTAGATCATTTTATATTCGATTTTGAAAAATACTCGTGCAATGCAGCATCAAAAGACAAAATATACCACTGGTATCATGTGGCTAATTACTAGCAACAGTATTGACTTTATTTAAGAAAATAATCTAATGCAAATTACCTGCACATCTTGTGAGTTTGCTGCAAAACGTTTCAAGCAAATTGTAATTAAAAGTGACTTAATAATGGCTACTTTATGCTAAAAGTCCAAAAAAAATTCATTTACGGTTCATCACTACCTGATCAGTGAGTGAATCAACAACCGCGCTTGTCCATTAAACAGTGATATTCTCACTCCCAGCTTAGAGAATAATCAGCAAAAATAATACTTTTAAAACTTTCGGATTATCGGCGAAAAAAATTAATTTCAAACATTTGAAATTTTCTAGTTAATGGATTTTTCATGAAAATAAGATTTAAAAAATACAGTAAATTTATTACGATTTATTTCAAACTATAAATTAGTAATGTTACTTGCAATAATTGATTACATGATACCAGTGTTTTACATTTTGAGCAGAGACCCAGTCAACGACTGTAAAACTAAGGCATTGCAAGTGCTATACGGAACAACTTATTAAAATTAGGTTAAGCGGTTTTTTGAAACAATTATTTTGATAAGTAGTATTTTTGCAACTTTGTTTGTGTCTACGTTTTTACAAATATTTAAGTTGACTGGGTTTTAGATGTTCGATGAATAGCTGGAAACAGAAAAGATGTGAGTCAAAATTTTTACCTGTTCTGATCCAATTCTATTAATTACTAAAACCAGAAAAAAGTAATTTAATAATTTTTCAAAAGTGGTCTGAAATTTTGAAAAAACATTAAATTTCACATTCATTAGTTAAAACAGCAATATGTTTTCTCCATCAGTTTAAGCATACGGAGATGTTGGTAATGATGAATGCTCCAGGCAATTTAGAAAACTCGTTATGTCTTTATTTGCCGAGACCTAGCATACTAGATTTGAATTTTGGTGAACAAATTGGTATTAAAAAACGCTTCTTTTGGGTTTCATGTGATATTTAATTATTTAATTCTTACGGGTGCATTTGTTATAATTCTTGCTGATAAAAATTTCTCAACGAGAATTGCATAAACTTGTAAAATTTATTAAAGGTTGAGATATTTTTTTAGGGGCACAGATCAAGTTTTAGGACAATTGCACTTCCCTTAAGAAGCGGAACCACGACCATAATTCACATCTTTTTACCACATTATCTCTTCTAGACTGAAACTGTTAGAGAAAACCTCTCCAAAAAGATGCTGTTTTTCCTAGTCTATAAAATGGTTTTCGCTACTTACACTAAAATAGTTGCTGCTTATTAAAATTTCTATACAAGTTTCGTGTCTCTTAAATGTTGATCTTTCCCAAGCCCATTTCTATAACAAATCAAAATAAATACAGAATTTAATTATCACTTTTACAATAAGTCAGGGTGCAGATGAATAGACTTTTTTATTGGATAGGTAGATATACGAAAGACTGAAGATTGGGATAAAGTGTGGCTTATTTCAGGATTGTGAAGCATCCTTAAAGCATAAATCGGAACTTGTTACCAAGCTAGAGGCTAAAGCACAGTCTATGACAGATACAATGCAAACACTTGAGATTAAGTAGGTATTTTTTTATTCATGGTTGTGGCTTTTATTTAATGTATGTTAGATTTTTTTACTAATTTGGCTTTACCTCAGTATAGATTACTACTAATATTTGTAACTTTGAACATTTTATAATACTGTTGTAGACGACAGTATTGTTTAATGTTTGTTATAATCGTAAGATATTTATATATTGGAAATGTTGGCAAACCTTCACTACAGCAGCTACTAGTAGAAAATTGTTTATCGATAGCCTCATGTTATCATAGTAAATATTGTAAGTGTTATATTCTTATAATTATATGTTTATTATTCTTGTAACGGTAATGAAAGTTATCATTGTTTTGCTTTAATACTTATTATCAATTTATACTTTATGAGACGTCCCGCTTAAATAATAAATTGTAACTAACTAAATTGTGATTTTGATTCCCCAGCTCCTAACTTTTGGTTTTGTTTCACACGTAGTTTTGTAGCAGGTTTGCCTTTATTTCTTTGTAAATTTATTTCGCTGTTTTAATTTTTATTACATATATTTATTTAATTATGACAAATTTATTCCTTTGGTTAAACAAATCAAATGACGTGCACTTTCTCGACAAGTGAAAAAAATGATAAAAATTTTAGATACAGAGAAAGTGAGTCAAATCGGGCTACCGCCGAACATTTAAGGCGAGAGCTAGACGTCCGTGCTGCGCAGCAAGAAGAACAGACATCGAATGTTGAAGGAGACTTAAAAGTGGAACGCGAGTGGAGAATGTCGCTTCAAGAAACAATGCAGCAAGACAGGGAAAGAATTTCCAAACTCCAAACTGAAATAAGCCAATTAAAAATCATAGCACAAGTAAACATTTTTATTGTACAAAATAGTTCGATGGTAGGTACAGTCTTATTTCAGAAATACGCTACGCTTCAAGAAGATTACTACAATCTTAAAGAACAGTGCCTAGAGCAAGAGCATACCTTAGAAGAACTAGGAAGTCAACTTAGTTCATCAAAACTGCAAATTTCTGATTTAAAGGAAGAAGTTGGTAGAAATAGGATTGATGGTGCGTGGGCACAAGATAAAACCGCTACTCATTGTAAGTCATGTGGAAAGGAATTTAATTTAACTAGAAGAAAGGTTGGTCGTGGGATAGCTAGTGCGGAAGATAATTAGAAACATTACTTTTAGCACCACTGCAGAAACTGTGGAGACATCTTCTGTAATTCCTGTTCAGATAATTCCATGTCGTTGCCGTCATCAGCTAAGCCGGTCCGAGTTTGTGATGACTGCCACACTCTACTAATGGGCAAATACACTGTGATGTAATTTAGTGTTCTAAGTAATGTTACGTAACTGGGAAATATTTTTAAACTGATGTACAAAATATTTTAATACTAACTTATGTAATGATCATTATAATTTAAATAAATAATGAAAAGGATAAAGAGTTGTTTGATATTCACAGAACACCTGAATGCAGTACGTATTACTTCAGAGTGTTACTCTTACGATTTTGGTATGATCACTTTTTTTCAGTTTCAGTTATATTATTTTACGAAAACCTCAATACTTATCAAAGATTCTAACTCAAAAATCCATGGCTGTTTTTGATCTGTTTTTTTATTGCTCGCTCGGTATAATTCCCATTAGAGTGAAAATACTTTGAGAAGACGTCATTTAAATAAGTTGAATTTGAAAAAAAAAAATCGTTAAACGTAGGCCACCATGTGTAAGTTTAGTTCTTTTTCTGGTAGTTAGTTGGTAGCTCTTCTAGGCGAATTTGTGGGTAGTATCTAGTGAGAGGGTTGGTAGTGAAGTGTGCTTGCTTTGTAGAGTAAAGTCACTAGATCTACTATTACTTTTAGAAAGTACGGCAAACTGCCTGTGGTCGGAATTCGACAGAGAGGAACCTAACCTATGTGTTAAACAAAGATAGCGCGAGGCTAGTAATTTTCGCTATCTGTCAACGAAAGTTTGATGTGTTTACGATTTGAGGTTACGACAGACTGTACTAGAATTATTGAGTTAACGGACCGGAAAGAACACTATTCCAGTCCCAAAGTAACTCCAGCCCTATTCAACGAGAAAGTGTCACCGGTAACCAGCAAACAGTCGTGGAAGACGTGTTACCACCAAGGCAATTGACGGCCAAATGACAGTAACAGGATCGCCATACTGGAAGCAAAAAATACCTGCTGTCGAAAAGACGGAGCATAACAAGGACACAGATATATTTCTATTTCATAAAAGTTACTAATTGCCACACATTTCAAGATCGAGTCACATTATTGTAGAGGGGTGAGATGCGTCATTCTTGGTTTGTTTGTTGTGAGTGAAAGCACACGGTGTTGGAAATTCCCATATCCAATTATCTTAAGCAGGTACCTAGGGTTGTGAGAGGTGGGGGTGTGTCCCACCCACCCTATTTAGTCGGTACCGGTACACACAATTTTGTAGTTTTAAGTACTGGAATAAATCCCAAGCAAAACGGTCGCACTGTTATCACTTTCGTCCTTCGAAGCAATTCTAAAAATCACAAACACACGGTTAGGTAGCTAGATTAACGTCAGTTGGTTTGGTAGTCAGAAAAAAAGGGAAAAGCCTTTGTTTAACGAAAATTAATCGTATCGATGCCGATGCCGCAGTTTTCCCAACAAGCGTAGCTGATTCTTATGGTTTTTTCCAAGCGGAAATATGCGAATTTTTGATCGATGTTAACACGTGGTTTAAATTTGATTTATTGTTTGTAAATTCACAGTTCATATTAGAATTTTAATCGTTAGTGGTTCTAACACAACTTAACAGTCATGAGATTGTTCAGATCTAAAGCACTTGCTAGGAGATTTCATGAGATTCACGTAGTCAGGAGTCATCCTTTGTTTATCAAGTTATAAATAAGGTTTGTGGATGCTTATATGTAAAGTTCCACCACTTGAACAGTAACTAGTAAAATTTTATTGGTATTTCAAAGTTAACCATGAATACCATAAATCACAAATTCAATGCAACCCTGGATGTTTCTAGCCCACTATACACTGGCGGCATACTCCTTTTAGTGGCGTCATTATCCCCCTGCATTGTCCGACAATCCCTCAAAGTAGCGGTTGTAAAATTTTACTAGGTACTGATGTAGTGTTAGAACTGTACTTAAGTGTTACATTATAACACTTCTTAATTCTTCTCACAAGATTGCTAATAATTCATTTACGGCAGTTAAATCAACCTAACGTTGTCCCACTCTTGGAAAAGGACCGTGGAAAGTGCGGTAGAATTCATAATATTGTGCACTGAGGGACGGGGGGGATTAAATTTTTCCCCTTTGGCAACCATCATCCGGACATCAACGAGACGTGTTTCTCGCGACGTGGGAAATTACACCACCGAGACGTAATTCTCGCGACGAGGGATACAGTTTGTGTTTATTTATCATGTGTTTTGTGACGAGCCGTCACTAAATTCGTTCACGAGAAAATTATAACTAAAAAGACTAATAACAAACCCCCAAAACATAACTCGAAAATTTGCAAATTTTAATTAATTAACACGCATGTCCTAATCGGCATATAGTACCATTCAAATAGATAAACAAAATCAAACATCAATCCCCAACAGGAACAAAATTCGCGTATTCGCAAATTGCGAATAACATTGCGCTTGCCAGACATTGCAAATAACTTGTACAGAATAATACGCCATAAACATCGCCAATCGCAATTACTTTCATCTAACATTCTACCCAAACTAAAACAGCTGCAAACGAAACCCAGATGCATAAACAACCTCAGAAAAAACGCCCTGTTTAAAAATAGCTACAACAAGTAACCACATGTAGCGATGACGATATGAAAAGCATGACGCAAGTTGAAAAAACCCGAAGATGTACGACACACTAACCAATAAAAAACGTCAGCCGCGGAACCATAATTAAAAGCTAAACCCTATAAAACAACGAAATAAAACCTAAAATCCCGTACCGAGTAATACACTAATCATGAAGAAATATAGTCCACTAAAGTCGCGGGAGACAAGAATAATGAGTAAAAATCCCTATATAAGCAGTAGCGCCGAAAACGGTTTCAGTAGAAGTTTCCAGTTGCTGTCGAAGACGCTGCCGATTTGTTCGTCGAGAATTTTTTATTATTTTTGCTGAATTTTGAAGAAATCCGAACTTAGAAGAATTTGCTGAGTCCGAGAGGAAGATAGAAAAATTCTCGATGCTGCAGCTGTGTAAGTCTACCTTTTAGTCATTCTTGATTTATCTTGCTTTCCGTTTTTTCGTCATGTGTTCTCGAGTTCGAATCGTACATGTGTAGCGTTTAATTTATGCGTTTTCTTCGTTACGTTGGGTGTGAACAGTTAGCGCCGGCACAGAAAGTAATCTTTAGTGCTTCCATATGTTCCCGTTTGCAGGTGGCACGTTTGGGCTTGCGTCGGTTCTTGATTGTTGGGGAGGATTTTTCGATAAATTACCGTTCGCTTTTATAATAATTATTCCAATGTTTCCTTAATTTGCCGATTGAACTCTTTTGCTTGCGACATGAATATTTTATGTGCGTTTTTGGGAAGTTCTCGAATTGAAACCTTTTTAATTTAATTTTCTTGTTGTCGATTATTTTATATTGAATTTTTGCCGTTTAAATATGACTCCGTTCTCTGATTATTTTACTATAGTATTTGGAAACCTCGCATTATATTTGATTTTAATCGTCTCACTGTATTTTAGCGTATTT